ATTTTCATGGTTTCAGGTCTCACATTTACTTCCTTAATCCATTCCCCGCCCCTTAATCCATTTTGAGTTTATTTTTGTGTGTGGTGTAAGAAAGTGGTCCAGTTTCATTCTTTTGCATGTAGCTGTCCAGTTTTCCCAAGACCATTATTTGAAGAGACTGTCTGTTTCCCATTGCATATTCTTGCCTCCTTTGTCACATATTAATTGACGATATAATCATGGGTTTGTTTCTGGGCTTTCTCTCCTGTTTTATCAAACTGTTTTGATTACTACAGCTTTGTAGTATAACTTGAAATCCAGAATTGTGATACCTCCAGCTTTATTTTTGATTTTCAACATTGCTTTGGCTATTTGGAGTGTTTTGTCGCTTCATACAAATTTCAGGATTGTTTGTTCTAGTTCTGTGAAAACTGCTGTTGGTATTTTGATAGGGATTACACTAAATCTGTAGATTGCTTTATGTAGTCCGGACATTTTTCTTCTTTTTTTTTTTTTAAGATTTTATTTATTTGCGAGAGAGAGAATGAGAGACAGAGAGCATGAGAGAGAGGGGGGTCAGAGGGAGAAGCCGACTCCCTGCTGAGCAGGGAGCCTGATGTGGGACTCGATCCTAGGACTCCAGGATCATGACCTGAGCCGAAGGCAGTTGCTTAACCAACTGAGCCATCCAGGCACCCCTGGACATTTTTCAATATTTGTTCTTCCAATACATGAACATGGAATATCTTTCCATTTGTTTGTGTCATCTTCAATTTCTTTCATTAGTGTCTTCTAATTTTCAGGGTACAGGTCTTTCACCTCCTTGTTTAAGTTTGTTCCTAGGTATTTTATTATTTTTGGTGCAGTTGTAAATGGGGATATTTTCTTAATTTCTCTTTCTGCTGCTTTATTATTAGTATAAAGAAATGTGATGGATTTCTGTAGACTGATTTTATATTCTGCCACCTTACTGAATTCATTTATCAGTTCTAGTAATTTTTTTGGAGGAGTCCTTAGTGTTTTCTATACATGGTATCAGGTCAGGTTTAGTTTTGTGCAAATAGTGAAAGTTTTACTTCTTCCTTACCAATTTGGATGTCTTTTATTCCTTATTCTTGTCTGATTGCTGTGGCTAGGATTTCCAGTACTTTGTTGAATAAAAGTTGTGAGAACGGACATCCTTGTTTGTTCCCGACGTTAGGGGAAAAGGTCTTAGTTTTTCACCACTGAGTATGATGTTAGCTCTGGATTTCTCATATATTGTCTTTATTATGTTATTTATTGTGTTTATTATGTTCCCTCTAAACCTACTTGGTTGAGGAAACTTCATACTGTTTTCCAGAATGTTTGCACCAGTTTGCATTCCCACCAATGGTATAAGAGGGTTCCCCTTTCTCCACATCTTTGCCAACATCTGTTGTTTCCTTTGTTGTTAATTTTAGCCATTCTGACTGGTGTGAGGTGGTATCTCATGGTGGTTTTGATTTGTATTTCCCTGATGATGAGGAATGTTGAGTATCTTTTCATGTGTCTGTTAGCCATCTGGATGTCTTCTTTGGAAAAATGTCTATTCTTGTCTTCTGACCATTTCTTAACTGGATTATTCATTTTTGGTGTGTTGAGTTTGATAAGTTCTTTATGGATTTTGGATACTAACCCTTTATCAGATATGTCATTTTCAAATATCTTCTCCTATTCCATGGATTGCCTTTTAGTTTTGTTTAGTTTAGTTGATTTTTTTTCCTTCACTGTGCAGAAGCTTTTTATCTTGATGAAGTCCCAATAGTTCACTTTTTGCTTTTGTTTCCCTTGCCTCCAGAGATGTGTCTAGTAAGAAGTTGCTATGGCTGAAGTCAAAGAGGTTGCTGCCTGTGTTCTTCTCTAGGATTTTGATGGTTGCCTGTCTCATATTTAGGTCTTTTAACAATTTTGAATTTATTTTTGTGTATGGTGTAAGAAAGTGGTCCAGTTGGGAAAATTGGACAACTAGATAGACTTTTCAAATTTTCTATCTCTTCCTGATTCAGTTTTGGGAGATTATATGTTTCTAGGAATTTATCTATTTCTTCTAGATTGTCCAACTTGCTGGTATATAATTTTTCATAATATTCTTTTACAATCCTTTGTATTTCTGTGGTGTCAGTTATTTCTCCTCTTTCATTTCTGATTTTTTTTTATTTGAGTCATCTCTCTCTCTCTCATGAGTTTGGTCAAAATTTTATCAATTTTTTCTATCTTTTTAAAGAAGCAACTTCTGGTTCCATTGATCTGTTCTATTTTTTTAGTTTCTATTTTGCTTATTTCTGCTCTAACCTTTATTATTTCCTCCCTTCTACTGGTTTTGGGTTTTGTTTGTTCTTTTTCTAGCTCCTTTAGATATAAGGTTAAATTGTTTATTGGAGATTGTTCTTGCTTCTTGAGTTAGGCCTTTATGGCTGTAAACTTCCCTCTTAGGTCAGGTTTTGCTGCATCCCAAAGATTTTGGACTGCTGTGTTTTCATTTTCATTTGTCTTCATGTATTTTTTTATTTCCTCTTTGAGTTCTGGCTGACCCATTCATTGTTTAATAGCATGTTATTTAACCTCCATGTATTTCTGCTGTTTCCAGATTTTTTTCTTGTGGTTGATTTCTAGTTTTATTTATTTATTTATTTTTAAGATTTTATTTATTTATTTGACAGAGAGAGACACAGTGAGAGAGGGAACACAAGCAGGGGGAGTGGGAGAGGGAGAAGCAGGCTTCCCGCTGAGCAGGGAGCCTGATGTGGGGCTTGATCCCAGGACCCTGGGATTATGACCTGAGACGAAGACAGACGCTTAACAACTGAGCCACCCAGGTGCCCCATGATTTCTAGTTTTATAGCATTGTGGTGGCCTGGTATGACTTCAATCTTTTTTAATTTGTTTGACTCATTTTATGGCCTAATATCTGATCTGTTCTGGAAAATGTTCCTTGTGTGACTTGAAAGGAATGTGTATTCTGCTGTTTTAGGTTATGGAATGTTCTGAATATATCTGTTAAATCCATCTCGTCCATTCTGTCTTTCAAAGCCACTCTTTTCCATGATTTTATGTTTGGATGATCTGTCCATTGATGTAAGTGGGATGTTAAAGTCCCCTACTATTGTTTTTATTACTATCAAACTTCCTTTATGTTTGTTATTAGCTGCTTTATGTATTTGGGTGTTACTATGTTGGGTGCATAAATATTTACCATTGGTATATCTTCTTGTTGCATTGTTCTGTTTATGAGTATGTAGTGTCCTTCTTTGTCTCTTGTTACAGTCTTTGTTTTAAAGTCTATTTTTTCTGATATAAGCATTACTACCCTAGCTTTCTTTTTATATCCATTTGCATGATAAATTCTTCTCTACCCCTTTACTTTTTTTAAAAGAAATTTTTATTTAAATTCTGGTTAGTTAACATACAGTATAACTTTAGTTTAGGTGAACAATATAGTGACCCAACACTTTCATACATCATGAGGTGTTCATCACAAATGCACCATTTAATCCATCCTCCACCTCCCTTCTGGTAACCATCAATTTGTTCTCTATAGTTAAGGGTCTGAGGGGCACCTGGCTGACTCAGTCAGTAGAGCATGCAACTCTTGATCTTAGGGTTGTGAGTTTGAGCCCCACATTGGGGGTATAGTTTAAAAAAAATAAAAGAGGCTGTTTCTTAGTTTGCCTTTCTCTATCTCTTTTTCTACCTTTGCTTGTTTGTTTTGTTTCCTAAATTCCACATATGAGTGAAAGCACATGGTATTTGTCTTTCTCTGACTGACTTATTTCACTTAGCATAATATTCTATAGCTCCATCCATGTTGTTGCAAATTTCATTATAT